GCGGCTGCCAAGTGATGACGGGCCACGGTATGATGATGATGATGACGTCAATGATGTTCTTACAATGACCAGGACCAGTAACAGTAGTTGTAGGTGTTTTTCTCCTCTCGTAGGGGGTCTCGAGCACTGTCCAGCTCTCGCTATTATGCTTGGCAGCGCGTAACGGGTAGAAGAATAGACGTGTGACTCTTGCACTAGGCATTGCTTTGCTTGTGAGTGTGCACGTCGCCTCGGAAACGGAGAAAAGACGGTGGGATGATGGGCGGGTGAGCGGGCTCATTTTTCGGTGTAACGCGCATATCGGCGGCAGCTTGATGCGGTCTTGTCTTTCTGGCTGGATGTCGGGCTGTTTTGTGTTGTGTGCGTGCGTCTCGGGGGTGGGTGGTTGGGTGGGTGGAGCACTCACTGCAGAGCGGCGTTTTTTTTTTTGGCGCCAAGGGTGGTCTGTCGACGTTGACTCCCCGGCTGCTGCAAGCATGACAGGACTGCCATTTCTTTGTGTTGTAAGAAGGGTGGGAGGAAGTTACCGGTCGTCACCCCTGCTTTCGTTCGAAAGTAGTGGAGAGAGGGGGGGGAGGGGGGGGGCTGCTCCTTTCTCTTGTTTTGTAGAGGGCGATTACTAGCAATGCCGCGTACAGTAGCGTAGTTATTATTTTGTTCTGCGTGTCGTGTCTTTTCGCCTTGTGTTACGTCCGTTTTAACTTGTAAAGGGCGGCGGCGATAGGTGCGCCATCCGTCTTGACGTGGTGTTTTTTCTTGTCACCCAAGTGTTGGGTGATGTGACGAAGGCACTTCGGTCTCTTGTCCTGTTTGGTTGTTTTTTCTCCTCTTTTTTCGTGTGGTTGTTGAAGGCCCCCGTTTCCCTTATTCTTGCGCGAGAGAGTTGTGACTAATTCTCCGCTGTAGGCTTACCGCGCCTTCGTTGCTAAGAGTACGTGGCGATCGGGTGGATCTCTCTGATGAATCGGGCTTTGGCGACACCCAAGTTTCTGTACGATATGAACATATTATTTGGGAACAAGGGATTAGGTCGAACGGCCCTGGTGTTTGGTCATGAACGGCGTGTGCACCTCCCCTTCTCCCTCTNTCTCCCTCCCCCCCCCCCCTCCATCCTCACGACCCCTCCTTAGCCATCTGAAAGATGTCCGGTCGTCGTAAAAGTCTCCTTGGAGACACCCGACACCTGTAGGTAGGCTGAGCGTTCTGTGGCGGCGCAGTGTTGATCACGCTGGAGAAACGGCTCTCTCGCGACAAGTTCCTGGCGAATGGCGAGAACGGTTAGAGGGGGAGCGACGAACATTCACTTCTCGCCACCCTCCCTTCTCGCGCCCCTTGTTGTTACTTTCCAGTTTTGGCGGCTCCTTTCTTGTTTTTCTTTGTCCGCTTGTCGGCCGCCGGCGGTGTGGATACTTTGGATATTATTGCATGAGAAGTGTGAGACAGCCGTTGCCGATGAATGAGCGAGAGAAGCAATCGTATATTTCTGTCTGTTTGTCTCCCACCACCCCCCCCCCCCCCCCCCCCCCCCCCCCCCCCCCCCCCNCCCCCCCCCCCCCCCCGCCGTATTCGTCAAGAAGAAAGTACGAACCTCCTCGTGTTTCATTTTTGTCATGGCTTTTCCAAGCACGGAAGGCTCTACTGCATCCCGTTTTTTTTTGGGAGGTGGGCGAGAGGGGAAGGAAGGAGGAGGGCGAGATTGCCGCGTATTCCCACCGCCAAGTGTTGGGAGAGTACATACCAAAGGTTTCGATGTCGAGGGGTGGGGGGGTGGGCAAAGCAACAGCAACAATGCCGTTGTAGTAGCGCTAGGGAGTCTCCTACCCCCGTTCTTTTTGTATGTTTTGAAGTCGGATCTGGCATTCAATGACCACCGAAACGCCACTCTCTCGGCTTGGCAAAATAGATTGCAAAGGAAACACGCCGTGACGCAGGTGGCATGAAAGTATGACGTTTCGCGCGCGCGGGAGGGGG